CTTCCTCTTCTAATTCGTCTTGTAGTACATTATCTAAGTGTACATCACTTATATCACGCAGTCTTTTCTGAAATTAAAAACATGTTTAGGTAAGTTGCCTGGCATATAAGTGGGTTAGTGAAGACCACGTACTGTAGGAGACAATTCCAAATGTGCTCGCTCCGTCTGACTATTACTAAATAGTTTTCGTTTTTTCTGCAATCATTTCAGAATTGTAATTATCTTCATAACTATCTATAGCAAATAGAATTACCTTTTCAGCTATCATATATCCTTCGTTTGTAGAACGCTTTTGTTTTATTTCAGTTAAGGGATCAGCATTCTAAAAAGTAAGATTTTTTTGGAGAAATTAGAGAAATTTTTTAAATTTTAGAAAATTCTTTACTTGTCAATAGTTATATTTTGTAAATAAAATCGTCATAAATTGTTAGCAATAAAAACTGTATAATTCGGTTAATCTTTTAGCAATTACTATTGAATCGCAAGTTATTTTTACTGGTTTGGAATAAAAATTCAGCTTATATACAATACAAGTGTACGTACCTGTTCTGTAGGATTAAAAAAACGTAAAATTACTACAGGGTCCAAAAAGGTCATTTCATCATAGTAAAATAAACGAGGCTCATACAGAGAGTCTTCCGATTCGGTTTTCTTTCTCTCGACTTTCTTTTTCTCTATAACGTAACTAGTGCGCAAATTTTTAATTTTCTTCTTCACATCCTCCACATTTCTTCCGAAGAAATTAGCGATTTCCCTCCATGCATTTTTCTTCAAGTCCAGGTCTTTATATTCTGGATTTAGACAATTCCATAGACACTCAGACTCTCTGTACATGGATATCAAATCGAAAATTTCCGCCTGCCGCCAATCCATTGTCAATCCCTTGACGTTGTTTTATGTACCACAAACTATTGCCTTCGTGGAGCACTACTCACATACATATATACAAATGCACAATAGACTAAAAAAATATATGTAAAGAATTATTTTCTATCCACTTGTTAAATGCGTAAACTGACAAAAAACTAATTTTTTGAATTTATTATTACGTATATATATTAAGTATTCAGTTTACTCTCATTTCTTTATCTTACTATTTAGCTTTCTGTTGTGATAATAAAATGTTTCTTCCACGTATTTAGAATGATATACGCATCAAGATAAATTTAGTAAGCGATGTTGGCTGCTACAGCTGACTGAGTCAGAATTGATTTTTTGTGGTGAATATAACATTTTAAAGTGTTTTAAAAGTAAAATTACGTTCAAATGGTATTCCGATTTTTTTAAAAATTCTGAGTAAAACAGTTATTTCTTGTATAAACGTTTATTATGATTTATTAAATAGTTAGTATTGTGAAAATTGTTTTATAAAAGTAAGTATATTTTTGTATTCTATATACTTCTAATATTTGACGCCGGTTGATAACGACACTACAGAAATAGTACATTTAGTAGGTTATGGGCGCTTGTCATTTATCGGTAGTTAAATATCTGTTTGTTTCTTTTGCTGTTTTTCTTAAAAACATGTTTAGTTGACTTAAAATTGTTTCCAAATTTGGTGGATTCCTGGGGAGGTGTAACAGAAATACAAAACCCGCCACAGGCACTCTAAGATTAGGATACGTTAAATTCGTTTATTTTTATAGTGAGTTCGTTCAATATGAGCAGTCGTTTGACTACAATGCTTTTTAATTGCAAGTAAGTTTGGGGATAACTCCTTCAAGGAGTTGTAACGAAGCTTTTGCCCATTATCTGGACATTTTCTTATGTTGTTTATTCATTCATTCACAGGGATGACTTGAATCCGGCAGCTCGAGTCGGACAACTTCCTGCATTTTTATATATAGTCTCAAATTTTTTAATTTTTAATGGCTGGGATTTAGAGTAGTGTCCCCCGGATTGGCGGTTAAAGTGGGTATGTACGAATAGAGAAAGTTCTCTAGATTAAGAAATTTTATACATTTAGTTGTCATTACTTATGGTTTTCAATATTTGTATTTAATGTTTAAAAATTCAAATATTTAATGTGCGTGTTTCTTTAATTTATAATAAATTTTACATTTATATATTTACTTTTGTATCCACTAACACTTTACTAGTTCATTTCTACACATTCGTTCTTTCTCGAAGCCGCTTCGACAATAAACAACGTGTTGGGACAACAAAGACTCCGAGTATGAAATCCAGAGCGCAGAAGGTGATATTGAAAAGGTTCGATATCGACGGTTCCGATAACTGAGCAGCTCTTTTGGGAGAAAAGGACAAGTGAAAAATTTCAGATCGATATCTCAAAAATCTGAGGGACTAGACTAGTTCGTGTATATATAGGCTGTCTGTCCGCCTACGAGGCTAAATCGCTGATAATTAGTATAAATTGAGTGTTATACTTCGTGGGAAATATATAGAAAATATAGAATATTCTGTACTTTAAATGTTTGTAAGACAACGATAGAATCCAAAAGGTCATATTATTATATCATATGCGTGCATTTTTTGCTTTCTGAAGTTAAGCAATTGCTCCATTTTTATTTTCTATTTTTTTTATTTAATTCATCAATAGCTTTCCCTTTCTCCTCACACCTCTTTGTATTGTATGATTACTAATGTAATAGATGGCAGCATTTCTTAACTTATTATTTTTTACAAAAATTTTGAAAAGTAAAAAAGTTGGAAATTTTGCTGCTTTTTATACCTATAAAAATATTAAATCATCTTATATATTTGTTGTCGATTGTGATCCATTTACATACTATAGTTTCCTTAATAGTAGACAAAAATAATATTAATTTAGAACATATTATTGTTGTGATAGTCGTATAAATCGACTATCTATATAAGAATCGAATAAAAAGGTCACCTTCACAAATGAAGTTGCCTTCACATCTTTTTACTTGCTCCTTTAGTACTCTCTTCGGGTTGGTACACGATTTGACGTTCTGCCATTTTGGCATTCCTTAGTATGGTGAAAATTTCAGATGTCACATTATCATATATATCTTCCGATTTAAGTGATTTAAGTTCACTGCAAAGCATTGCACAAAAAGTATCTTCTTTATTTAGGTACTCTTCCTCTTCTAATTCGTCTTGTAGTACATTATCTAAGTGTACATCACTTATATCACGCAGTCTGCAAATTAAAACATGTTTAGGTAAGTTGATGGCATATAAGGGTTATGAAGACCACGTACTGAGGAGAAATTCAAATGTGCTCCTGTCTGACTATTACTAAATATTTTCGTTTTTCTGCAATCATTCAGAATTGTAATTATCTTCATAACTATCTATAGCAAATAGAATTACCTTTTCAGATTATCATATATCCTTCTGTTTGTAGAACGCTTTGTTTTATTTCAGTTAGGATCAGCATTCTAAAAGTAAGATTTTTGGAGAAATTAGAAAATTTTAAATTTTAGAAAATTCTTTATTGTCAATAGTTATATTTTGTAAATAAAATCGTCATAAATTGTTAGCAATAAACTGTATAATTCCGTTAATCTTTAGCAATTACTATTGAATCGCAAGTTATTTTACTGGTTTGGAATAAAAATTCAGACTTATATACAATACAAGTGTACGTACCTGTTCTGTAAGTTAAAAACGTAAAATTACTACAGGGTCCAAAGGTCATTTCATCATAGTAAAATAAACGATGGCTCATACAGAGTCTTCCGATTCGTTTCTTTCTCTGACTTTCTTTTCTCATAACGTAACTAGTGCGCAAATTTTATTTCTTCTTACATCCTCACATTTCTTCCGAAGAAATTAGCGATTTCCTCCATGCATTTTCTTCAGTCCAGGTCTTTATATTCTGGATTTAGACAATTCCATAGACACTCAGACTCTCTGTACATTATATCAAATCAATTCCGCCTCCGCCAATCCATTGTCAATCCCTTGACGTTGTTTATATACCAAACTATTGCCTTGAGACACTACTCACATACATATATACAAATGCACAATAGACTAAAAATATATTAAAGAATTATTTTCTATCCACTTGTTAAATAAGTAAACTGACAAAAACTAATTTTGAATTTATTATTGATATATATATAAAGTATTCAGTTTACTCTCATTTCTTTATCACTATTTAGCTTTCTGTTGTGATAATAAATGTTTCTTCACGTATTTAGAATGATATACGCATCAAGATAAATTTAGTAAGCGATGTTGGCTGCTACAGCTGACTGACTAGTCAAATTGATTTTATGGTGAATATAACATTTAAAGTGTTTTAAAGAAATAAATGCAAAATGGTATTCCGATTTTTAAAATTCTGAGTAAAACAGTTATTTCTTGTATAAACGTTTATTATGATTTATTAAATAGTTAGTATTGTGAAATTGTTTATAAAAGTAAGTATATTTTGTATTCTATATACTTCTAATATTTGACGCCGGTTGATAACGACTACAGAAATAGTACATTTAGTAGGTTATGGGCCTTGTCATTTATCGGTAGTTAAATATCTGTTTGTTTCTTTGTGTTTTCTTAAAAACATATTGACAAATTGTTTCCAATTTGGTGGATTCCTGGGAGTTAACAG